ATCAACTTCAGGGATTAAGAACAACAACAACAACAACAAAAAGGCACAATAAAAAAGAAGTAACCTACCTATAGCCTCAAGATTGTATGCAGCCCATCAGAACAATTTATCAGGCCCAATCTTTGTTCTGTGGGAAACAGAGCTGGCTATCAGCCAGATTAATTGCTCTAGATGTCTGTTCACCAAGGGCTGCCAAAGGATTTCCACTTTTCTCCCACCCCACCATGTAACTTGAGCTGTGCCCATAAACAACTAAAAGATAAGTATTTCATACCAGAGAAAATACATCTGAATCACACAAAAGCAGTATGCAGGCTGTCCACATGACAACATTTCTCGTAAACTTGCAAGGTGGATTCCAGTCACATAGCACCCAAGCAAGGAGAGGAATGTGTGCCTATATGGCAGTGAGCAGCTTGACCCCTGAGTTCCCCCATTAGATGCCACAGGACTTGCTAAGGACAAGATGACACTTAACTATCTACAGAAAAGAGGAAGAAAAATTGAGAGTTACAACCTACTTGTGGCTGAGTTTGAAGAAATAATTCCATTAAAAAAGGGTTTTTTTGAGTCTGACCTGATTTTTCCGGAGTTTCACACTCTTTTAACAAACAGCTGAGGTTGAAGCCCATGTTACCACTGTTTAGGAGTCTATTTTTTGAAGACTACTTTTCAGTAGCATTCTTCATCTCCAAAACTGGGTAGGTCTTTAAAAATAAACTTCATAGGAATACAGTGAAAAGGAAATAGTACAGAAGCATAAAAATAGACTCAGGAGTCCAATAACAAACTATAAATCATTCATTTCCATCACACATTGACTTTCAGCAACATTTCTGCTTATACCAATGAACGCAGTTCAGAACATTTAGGGATAGGTTCTTTCCTTCTAAACAGAAAGCATTTTAACTTGCTCCCAAAACAAAGAAATCACAGGTAACCAAGGTTTAAGTTACCTCTCTTGGGTTAGACATATTTCGGTGCTATCCTGCTGTGCCTGACAGAAAGTCTGTCCAAGTCCCTCATGAACTCAAAGCAGACCTCAAAGAAGATTGGGTCCTACTCCTGGGATGTTTTCTGCACACCTGCACTCCTCCTTATTGAAATGCATTACGTTTGTATCAAGAAGTTAAAGACAAGAAGAAAAAAAGAGTTTAAGAGGAAGGAATAAAAAAAAATATTGACGGCTACCATGGCTAAAGTCAAACCAAGTGATAAAGGAAAACAAATTGCATCTGCAGCTATTACAGTCTTGCTCCTCCTACCCTCAGCCCAATAAATTAGCTTGATGCCAGGATTTTTTTTCTTGGAATTAACAGAGTTCAGACTACTTAGCTAGCCTCTGAATTGCATTTAATGCTTACTTTAATCAATGTATTAATCAGAAACACCCATCATGTAGCTCCAAAAAAAGTAAATATAATTACATAAGACAAAAATGTAGAAAAGCAGATAGCCTACATTTGCTACAGTAAAGATTTATTGGTCCTATTGAAGAAATATATCCAAATCATTTGATCCTAATGATAAATGATAGGAGTTGACTTTGATCCAAGACAACTATAAAAGTTGTTTTGACCAAAATGAGAAAAATAACCCACCATTAAAAATTCTAATTAGTATGACTAATATATGAACTTATTCAATACAGAAAACCCACTTTAATTCTATGGTCAGAAATTGGTCAAAGATATATCTATCTAAACAGGACTTATAATAATGTGTAATTCATCTTCACCAAAGTTTACTATTAATATGCCTAATTTCTAATATCATAGGACAGAACAATCTTCATATCTTCATATTCTACAGCTTATCCAGCTTCATAGCCCAGCTTGCTCCCTCATATAATCCTTCAAGGATATGTTACTTGAGGGAAAAAAAAAAATCAGATGAGTGAAACCATCCAGTCAATAATGTAGAATCGACAGCTCATAAAACAAAACCTTTTTTTAAAAGTATTTATACTTTTATTTGCCATGTTTGTTTTCCTTAACAACCTCCACTGCTTCATAATTTTTCAGGGGACCTATACAGATGGCATCTCAATTGCAAAAAAAGTGGGCAGAGACACCTGCATGCCATTTCCAGGTAGGCTAAAGTATAGGGCTAATAGGCTTAAGACAGGGATATCCCCTCCCAGTTAGTAGAATATCCAAAGCACATTGCCAGTGGTGAGATATTCAAGAGAAAGAATTGTAACGATTCAGTCATCTTCTTTCCCAATAAGCATACCCTTCCTTTCTGGGCTAAGTGAAAATTTTTAATTTTGGGAGACTGGAAAATTTAGTATTATAGGCAAAGTCTGTTTGAAAAAAAAAAAAGTTCAGGTTTAATATACTTTTCCTTGAGCTCTGGCAATTGTACTGCTACCAACAGAATTTCTACCACAACAGTGCCAGCACAGCACAGATTTTTTTAAATACTAACTGGGTCTACTGCTTGTCTATTGAGAAAAAATGTGTAGATTTACATTAAGAAATATTGCTTACAAATTACATGCTACAGTCCAGCTAATCCTGCATTCTTTGTGCACCACAAACTCACCACCAATCTCAGTACCAAGGAAACTGAGATTTCATTACCAGCACTGACTAGACAGTATTTGTGCAGAGCAAAAAGTCAGATTCATTATAAGGAATAATGAAATAATTCAATAATAATAATACAATGATAAAAATAAAATAATGTAATACATAATAATAAAGATTTTTTTAAAATTCTAGATTAGTCCTTATCAGCAAAATATAGCAAGGATTATTTTACGTGTCAGGTTGGAAAGCAGGGTGTAACATCCATGTTAGGTTCTAGAGAATTAGAGCAGTGATCCTAACTTCTGTTCTGCACAGTGGGAGACCAGAAGTAATCCTCCAGTCATAGAAAGGATTGCACAATAGTTAGACCTTTATTAACAGTAGCTGTGGGCTCACCTTGTACACCTGCCTTGGAAGAGCAAAGTCTCAAATCTTAGTATAGGCAGAATTAAGGAGAAAGCCTTGACAAAAATAACAGTTCAAGGTACAATCAACACTATCACTCAGTTACATACTCATAACATTAATGTGCAACCCCTTGAGTAGATCGTTCCCTTGAGGGCTTTCAAGAATCTCCCAGTCTGTGAGAATGCTCCCACATTTATCCCAGCAGTGGAATAGAACACATCTCATTTTAATTAAGATTAAATTAATTAAGCAGTGGAATAGAACACATTTTATCTATCTTTCAAGTTGAAAGAAAATGTGTGTTCTGTTGCTGCAGTTTAAAAAAAATAATAGTAATAGTAATAGTAATAAAAAGAAGAACAATAGGGGGAAAAAAAAGAGAGAAAAAAGAATTTCTCCAAAATGTGTAGTAATGGTTAAGAATTACACACTACTAACTTAAAGCAATTCTGTCCATGAATCAAGAGTTCTCTGAAGCCTTCATGAGAATAAGTTTTATTAAGCTACCTGAGCAAACTACTGCTTTTCCTATTGTTTTAAATAAAATCTGACAAATAAACCTAGGATTTATTTATTAAGTAATTTATTTTCCTAGGTATCCAAATAAAACCTATCACCAAAAGCAGTATTTACTTTCACTCCTCAGGAGCAGCCAAAATACTCTACTAAGCTTCATGCTGCACAGTCAAGAAGCTTAGCATAAGCTCATAGCACTAATGCCTCTGTGTACAAGGTGAACTATGTGCTACTATAAACATATTTCTTGGTTCCTGTCTCTTACCAGCAAGAGTGACAAATAATAAACTCTTCAAGAGCATATCTATCCTTTTAAGCAGAAATGGGAGCTAACATAACAACACAGCCAGGAGATTGAAAACAGTATCTACAGTAGGAGAGCAAAGAAGAGGAAGAAAAATGGAAGTGGGTGGACAGCAGCTGGCGCAGCGATAGAAAATGGAAGGGGTGGGAAGGCAAAAATGAGAAGATGAATAGGGAAGGAGACAAATGAGATGTGAAAAGAGACAGAAGACAAAATTAACAAGAGTTAGTCTAAAACAGCACTTAAATCCTGGCTCAGCCAAGGGAAATTACAAAGTCAGCCTGACAGGAAGAGTAAGTAAATCACAATGCTGCTGTCAGCGTCTCACTTCTTGAGTGGTGTTGCCAAGAGCCAGTCACGGCCGGGAAGCACTGGGACAGGTGCTGCAATGGCTTTGCTAGCTACGTGTCTCATGAACAGCTGCTTCAGAGAGTAAGCACCATTTATTGGGAATGGCAAAAGAGAGAAAAGGGTAATCACCAGTGAGCTCAACTGGAAATGAGATGAAGCCCTTATTAGCTGGTCCACACACTAAAACAGCTCCCTCACAAGTCGTACTTAACCCAAAGTATGAGGAAAGCAGACAACCATTTTGTTAAAGAGAGCCACAAAAATTTATCAGCAATTGAGGTGAACTACTGTGCAAAGATACACAAATTACATTAAAATTATATCTATGGTAGACAAAAAGTTTCCATCCAATGTTCTTCAAAAATTCCTCAAATTGTAACAGATAAAGAAAGAAAACTCTTTGTCGGCAACACATGCAATGCAAGGAGATCTGTGATGTTTAGGGAAGTGTCCCAAGGTACAGCTGCAATGCTTCAATATATTTTAATTCATTAAAGACACTGGCCACACAGGATAACACGATGCCCTTATAATCTGCAATATCTTGGCCTGTATAATCAGTCCGTACAGAATCAGTGTGGAAAAGGAAGCTAAGTTTCCTCAAGATTCCCATCCTAACTGATCTTCGCCAAAACACAAACACAGAAGAGACTGCACATGTGGAGGGACACAATTGCCACCTTGCCCGAGTTTATTCAATAACGCAAATAAGGATTAACTCATGTTTTACAGGTTTTTATAATTGAATATAGTGCAGTATTAGCCTTCCATTAATCTGATGTGCAACGCATCATTAGCTCAAAGGACCTGGGCGGAAGCTAAAGGCCAATTTTACTGAGAAACACTACCAAAAATACAGAAAATGTTTGCATAAGGTGGAAACATACCGTGAATGTCTCTTCTGTACTTCTTTTCCTTTGTACTGGAGCAACTGGAAATTCAAGAAGGGACTTGACCGTCTTCCTTTTGGCTCTTTCCATTTGAATGTTAGTAAAATAGTTGACAGCAGCAAACTCAATCAGAGCAGAGAACACAAAGGCAAAGCAAACCGCTATGAACCAGTCCATGGCAGTAGCATAGGATACTTTTGGCAGTGAATGTCTTGCACTGATGCTCAGTGTCGTCATTGTCAACACTGTGGTTATTCCTTCAAAAAAAATAAAGCAAAAGAACTGGTGAATCAAAGTAAAACAAAGCAAGAACTGGCAAGCACCTTCAAACAAAGAATTTTAAATCACATATGAGTCTTTCTCTGCTGCTTGTGAATACTGCAGTAGATTTAAGTCATGGCAAGCATCACATATCCATGAGCACCTAAGTCCACAAACAGCTTACTGCTTTTCAAAGGAGGCACAGAAAGCCATGGCTTCAGCAGATCATCTACAGCTCACATGAAGAAAACACAGAAGCCTTAATTTTATATGTTTTTCACGTCAAGTTCAGTAGAATTTTTTACAAGTTATTTTCTAAACATTTGAATAAGATTTAAGTTGTTAAATCGGGGAGTAATCCTCAGACTGCAACAAAAACATGACTTCTCCTGTAAATGGTCCTGAATGCCACCTATTATTCTGCATCTGTGCCTCTGATCACACTTGTAATCCAGGAAACGTTAAGTCATGACAAATTATTTTGGTGCTAGGGAAGAATATTATGCTAAAAACTCTGTCAGTTAAGAAACCACCAGGTTTTTTTACAGCCTTCTGCTACTAGTCAGCCAATGAAATTTAATTAGATTTTCATCTTCTGAAAGAACAACTTTAATTAAAAAGTGTGAAGTATGAACACTGAACACAAAAGATACCCACTTCATGGTAGTACTTCAAATGCAAACACATAATGTATAAAAACAAATTACTGGGGTCTTTTTTTTCTTTTTTTCATCCAAAATATCCTATATCATAAAAATGTAAAACCGCAAGTACATATTGAGCACTGCATAAATCCTAGCAAGATAACCTCAGTGATGAGTGACTACAAATAGAGATGTCCTTACTCTTATGAAAAGAACACTGTATGCATCCTAATTCAAGATGCAATTCTAATGCTCTGAAGAATTCAAATGCATTAAGAATATATTTTGAAACAGATTTCTCACATCCCTATTTGCTAAATGATGATATTCCATCAAGGTAATATAATAAAAAAAAATCTTCACCTACACACTGCCATACAGAGAGATGTTCACAATGGAATCAGTCATTCCTTCCAATGAAGAAAAACAAAAGAAGAGTAGTAGCCAGGTTATGACAGCTCAAAGGATTTCTCAGAGTTTTCAGGAGGATAAAAAATACAGATGCAAGCTCACAAAACCTTCTTCAGTGGGAAGGTGTTGAAAACCACACTACTGAAAATGTTTAAGTCTGAGAAAAAAAAATTATGGAAAGTTGGTTGTTTGGGTTTTGTTTCTTTTCCTGGAGGAGGCCCATCCCTGTTTAGTCCTATCCTTTCTAAGGACCCTGAGTGGACCTTTGTCCACTTCAATCAAAAACTTTGTCTGAATTTCTTCTAAAAACATTTGTTTAATAGATGTAAAAATAGGGTAAAGTGAAATAAATGACCAACATTAACCAAAAACAAGGAGGGGATGGTAGTCTGTGACAATATAAGTTTACTGACATTCTATATCAGATTTTTCTCTATTAAATCATTCTTCTGCAAGACTTGGAGCTGCCAGTACAACTGCCCCTATTACTTTTGCCAGCATCTAGCAGTCTATAGAGAGGCTTGTAGTAGAACATTCTCTTCCTGCTTTAGGCAGCTTTTAAAATGTTTTAATCCTATTTCTTTGTTAGGAAACATATTTCCATTTAGATTCTTGCACTTTGTCTTCCACTGAAGATTTTCTGTTATTTTCACTGTGCCATCTCATTCAAGCTGTATTTTGAAAAGATCAATTTTAATATCTTGTGATAATTTTGCTTTTGTAATTCATTTTCATGGTGGCAGTGGTAGAAAGGAAAGAAAAGCACTAAATATGAAATTACAGTAACAGAATCTAAGCCTTGTCCATAGCAAGCTTCCACTGATGACACAGATACCTCATAATAAGACAATGGAACATCTTACACACTGAAAATCAATTTGTTTTACAAGTATTCTATAAACCTTGAGTTCAAGTACTTTCACTACTGTCCACCGGAGGATAAACCTGATCTGGATGTAGACCACGGACTTGTATTACTCAGTGTATTACTCAGAGCCAGGTGTTTCCAGTTTGCTCCCTCAAGCAGGTAGAATCCCTAGAGCTGAGCAGCCTTTTTCTACAGGTTATCATGCCACCCTTCTGGTTATATATTCCAAGTTCCTCTTCAGAGTCCAAAGATTTACTCAACAACATTCTTCATACATCAATGGCAAGATTCCCTCTGAATTTAAATTATTCCCTTGTTTCTGCAATACCATGGAATACACCCCAGGGCACTGAAAAGGCCTGTTCTAGGCAGCGTTATTAAAAGAGCAAGTACAAGAAAAAGTTTTGAAAAAGGAAATAATTACCAAACACAGTTCTAGCAGGAACTGATTCCTTATTTATCCAAAATGAAACTTGAGAGAGGATCACGGTCATAATGCATGGGATGTAGGTCTGAATCATAAAATAACCCATTTTCCGTCTGAGATGGAAATAAACTGTCATAACAATATATTCACCTAAAAAAAAAAAAAAGAAAATATTTCTCTGTGTATAAAATTTGTGTTTCAGACTCTCAAGTAGGATTGTTTAAGGTGATGCCATTCATATAACTTAACACGTACAGAAAGATATCTTCTTTAGAACACGACTGAATGAAGGGGGTTTTTTTAAATCCCAGAAACAGTAGGTCCTTACAAGGAAGTTGATATCAAAAATGCTATAATACAACTAATACTGGATTACATTTTACAGTATAAGCATGATTTTAAAAATCCTTTTGACAGCTATTGGAGAAGAGAATCCCACAACACAATTTATCTACCTACCACAGTATCCATAACATTGTGGTACCTACCTGCTGAATAAAACAATAAGAACAATGATACACATCAAATGTTGTGCGAGCATCTCAACTTTTTACTAGATTTATAATTCAGCCCCATTATGATAATGAAACAAATGCAAAAATCATTGAGAAGAATTAAAAGTACTCTAAATTTATCTAAAATGTTATAAATTCATATTAAGCAAACAGACCAAAAAAGCAGTTTTACCATAAACTCAAAAAACTGTCTAAATAAAGCACTACAGAATGAGCCTTTTGGGACAGCAAGGAATTTTTCTTTATTAACTCATAATAATCTATATGCTGAGAAGTAAATTCCTAATGAATTGCAAAATGACATTTTATCTTTTAGTAAAACATCCGTAGAGCAATACATCAAATATATTTGCTTTATTGGTTTCATTTTGACTATCTTACAACACCCAAACCTGCTGATGCTTAGAAAATGATTCCAAATTTTAAAAATATTTTGGGAATATGCTTGTTTATCACCGCACTGCTCATCAGTGATACTTCACTCATTTTGGATGCCTGTAGTTGCCATTTGCCTTATTTCTTACAGCAGGAATCAGCAGAAGTATCTATTGTGACTAATGTATTTGTGCCTACCCTTATCTGACTAGAGGGTTTTTATGGTTTTAATAACCCATTCTGTATGCTGTACTTCTATCCTGAGCTGTTTGCACCACCAAACAAAGGAAGTCTTTTGCACATAATGTGGATACAGTGCTGAGAAATTACTTCCTCACCCAGGCATCCTCTTGACTCTTCAAACTGCATTTTAAGCAGTGATTAAATGCTCATTTTGTCCCTTGGAGTAATGATCTCATTCTAGCTTTCTGAAAGACTGTCGCAATCTACTGTAATGAATCTGCAAATGTAAATCTCAAGGACAGAAACCTAATTCAGATTTACACTCTCAGCCCTTAATTCATACCCTGTGACATTCAGTAGAATAAAACTTACAGGAAGAAAAAGAAAAACGGCTTTGGGCAATGTTACAGGTTAATTTTACCTCAAGTTAATTTTACTGATGAGATTCCTACCTGTAATAGATTTTATAGTTTCAGAAGATACCGTATGCCCAAGCAGGTCATACTGAACTAAACTGGAAGACTCCTCAGGAACTTCCACTGACTTCTCAGGTCCTTTTGTCCAGGTATAAATCATTTCACTTTTTGGATAAGCATCTACAACACAGCATCAGTTTGCATAAATAGGAAACTTTTTCTCATGCCTTAATAAGAACCAAAACCAAACCTACTGAAACCAAACAGTAAAACACACATGAACGACTTCAGAAGATCCCACTCATGTTAAGTTACCCCCCCAAAAGCCACCCTTGGAGCAGAATAAATAAGAGCTGAGGTAATATGCCAAGTGTCACACACAAATTCACTTCACATATGAATGTGAAGACTAAACGCAATTCACTGCTGGATCAGCCCTTATTGGGCATGCAAAATTTCTCTTTATTTTAGCAATTTGCAACTAAACTTTTACTATTAAAATATACCAATCTAAAAAAAAAGAAAAGAGTATATACAAGGAGGATATATTTTGAAGATTGGGTGCACATTACTTTACAGAAAAGGATGATTATACTAAAAATGGCAACATTTTAAACTTCTGTTTAAAATATTTGCCAGAAACCATAGGTCAGTAAAAAAATTCACAATGGCCCCAAAATAAGCACACACAAAGAAACATTTTACATTTAATGCAACAGACATGTCTTAGGGCTAGCATTCAATCCCTACACAGTCCAAACTCCTGTTAAAATTGAATCAAATCAGTCTTACATTTGAAATGGCTACCTGTTATTTCAAGTTTCACTGTGGGAAACATCAGACTAGTGTTCAGCAATTCCTGCTGAGTGGTGATTCTGTCTGAAGAGCTGTTACTGTCAATGAGCCCCCACTATCAAAGAACCCCTATCATACAATTGATAGCAAAGACAAATCTTGCAGCACCTGGTCTCCACTGAGGAAAAATCCTATCAGAGCTGTGTCTTTCATACCCCCATTCAGGCAGACTATCCAGCTGTATAAGCTAAATTTATGCAATGGAAAATCTCTGGAGGTTCTCCAGCGATTTCTGACTTCAGAGCTCTAGGGTTAAGGAAAACAGATTAATGTCCAGCCATTGGAGGGTTTAAAGCAGAGAAGTCAGTGACCACGAAGGCTTAAAAGAATAACAAGATAATTAATGAAATGCACCCACCATTTCCAGGGGTCTCAGAGGTCTCTGCTTTGGATTCACATCAGGGAATCACAGCTACCCTCTCTTGTTTGTCGTGCAGAAATCCCAAAGTGTTCCTCTATCCAAAATTTGGCTATTTTTCAGAAACCTACATCTGACTTCAAAGCAGAAAAGTCATCTGCACTAAGATTTTTCTCACCAGTTAAGAACTTATTTATTTAGTCTAAACTTGCCATGCAGGCTCCTCTTACAGGCCTGAAGACAGACAATTACAACTAGACATCAAACTCCTGCACATAACCTACACCTCTTTCTTAAGATGCCAATGTGCTTCCACTGCCTGTAGAGAAAGTCAGCTAACCTGCTTCCCTAGGTGACTTTTACCTGGCTGTTCAAAGGTAAGTTTGTCTTCCCCAGAGTACCACTCACTTGACTGAGTATCCAATTCCTCCCCAGGAACCAAGAAAATGTACATATTTCAAGCAACTGTGTGTCCAGACAGTGGGGTTTAACATAACTGCTGAATCACCGCCTGTTTTTAGTTCTCTGGGTTTAATTTTTGAGGTCCTAAATTGAATTCCTGAGGAACTTAACAGGAGTTTTGTCTGCATAGAGATTGCATATCAAGACATAACTCTATAAATTCATAAAGTCTAATAACTGCTCAAAATTTAATTCTACTATTTAAATTCTGTAGTTACAAGAAATTTGATAATTGCAACTTACAACTCCCAAATTTGAGAGGACAAGCATGACCATCCATGGGAAAATCCACTAATCTCATGGGACACTCTGCACTTATTGTAAGCCTATAATGGAACAAATTAAATAGTCTCTGGTTGCCATTTTGTCTAGGCAGTACAACTTTTGCATACAGTAATTGTAAGAAATCAAACAAACACATTAGGTACCTCATTGTGTACAGGATGGTGCCATTTCTCATTATTCTGAAGAGTTTATTTGGGGCTGTCATATTATGTGCAACAGACTTTTTCCCATTCCTGAAGAAAGTATCAGGAGTCCATACCTTCGAAACCATCAAGTTGTTAAGTCTTAAAATTTCAATAGGACCATCATATTTTAATCTTTTATCAACCCATGTCTGACGAAAGAAGACATCCATTGTATATTCCTGTATTAAATTGCAAAAAAACAAAGATCACATTTGCATATGTGTTTCCTATAAAAGAAGAAATCCCTCAGAAGCAATCATTAGAAAAGAAAATCCTAAGTCCACTACATAAACATCTTTCCACCAATTAAAATGTCTTGTGTACTTCTTAATAGCTTAATTTCTTACATTAGTCATATCAATAAACTGCTACACATTTAATCATTAAGGAATAATTAACCTAATTAGGTTGCAGAAAGCAGGCAACTGAATTTGAAGTCAAGCATATAACTGAAAACAAAATGATCTCTGACAAGAATTGTCAACAGATTTTTAAAGAAAATATATCCATAGATCAGCTGCCGATGGCTAAATTGAAAATACCAGGACAAATTACTAGTTCCACTTTAAAGTTAGGAAAGAAAACCTAACTTCATCTCATGGAAAGTAAGCTTTTAACCGAGGAAAGCTAAGTAAGTCTTTTGCCATGCCCACAAAGCAGGGATAATAAATTATATAGAGATTTGCATATACATCTACATTTTTTTTAAGTATGTAACTATCGCATTAACTTCCTCAGAAAAGCCACTGAGATGCTCCAAAGAAAACATGCAAACAACTGCAGACATAGGCACATAATGAGAAATCATATGTGAATGAATGGATGAAAGAATGCATTTCTCATCTTGGGAAGCTAAAGCACTTCACCAAAAAACTACCATGTGGCAATTTAAAAGGTCACATGGAAGCATTTAAGTCCTTTCTAACTTGCAGTTTTGATTTTGTTGTTAAGCCAAACAATGTTTTCTGACTTGATTTCAAATTCTTCTGCGTAATGTTTCTATTGAAATTACTTGCAAGGACATTTCTATTTGCATTGGGAAGGAGGCATGCCTACTAGTGTAATGCATCTTAGGATTTTATGTCTTCTTTTCCATGACTGTATCCTCCACTGTGATTTATAGTTAATACATGAAAAGTGTCTCCTCTAGTGTCATTTCCTGCTGGCAACTTCATAGCTTATAAGTAGCAGTTTCTGTTATTAGTTTCTACCTGACAGATTTTGTAATATAAGATTTCAATCATTTTCATTAAAAAATGAAAATGGGTACAAAAGCAACTAAAAAGACATTCTGATCATCCCCTGTACTGACACCATAGCACACATCACTGTTGCAGCAAGTTTTATGAGTGCAGCCACATTCAGATTACACTGGGTCACTAATGGACATATTAGCTAAAGAGTTATCCCTAAATAGCCTCCTAAATCATCCCTAATGAAGAAAGGGGAAATACTGGCTGTAAACTCTGCTTTTGCAAGGTCCTTACCCATCCTCTGTCCATGTTCTCACTTCTGCCTAGATATATGCTTCAATATAACTAATAACTTCCTATGAAAATGAAGCCTGAGAGATGCCACGCAGCCCTCACTACACATTTGAGGCACTCACTACTAGATTTCCTTGGGATCACATTCTTGTACCCCTTGCCACTCTGATAAGCATCATCCTGCACGTGATAACCAACGAAGGGGTAAGATGCATTTCAACATGAGACTGCTGTCACACTGTAGCTCTTGAAAAAATACCTTGCTATCACATACCTTTCCACATAACAGAATTAAATCAGGTGCAACACAAAGTGAACAACAGCACTAGAGGGGAAGAAAATTATTACCCTGAAACTGCTTTTTCCATGAAGAAGTTCAGTTCAGCACATATGGCTGTGTTATTTCCATGGGACTTCTTGAGTATGTTATAAAAAGATCAACTGCTCTATGATTTAAGGGTATATCGCTGTATTTTAGAAGTTGATGAGAGTTTTGCTGGATTTGACCTTGAAATCAAAAGCCGTTCAGCCACAAATAACAGAACATGCAAATGTAATATTTCTCCTCTGTAACTATTTCATGCATGTCACTTGGACGTTCAATTTCTGCATATACTTGTGAAAACTCTTATCAGACAAACATTTGCTGAAAGTGATGCTTAAATGAGCACAAAGATCAGCAAAGGACATTCATCTGAAATGAAAACGTCAACAAGTATTTTTGAAGTGATGTCATTATTATTCACCTGAGAATAACACAAGTTTCAGAAACGAAAAGCAATTTCAAAGATATTACACATTTTCCCCACAGCAGACTTACTTAGACACTCCCTGCAAGGCTGGATTCTGCCTCAGTGCCGTGAAAATCTGTTTTAAATCCCATGAAGTGAATTTCTTAAGCCAGCCAAAACCCACTGAAAGTGTGACCAGAATCAGGCCTTATGTATCTAATTATAACCTGTAAATTAAGCTGTTACTAATCTTGCCTAATTTGCATGATTGACAGAACAGTACAGATGAAGCATCCACTCCTACTGCAGCTAATGGTTTCTCAGAACCAGGAAATGGCATTTTAATCCCAGAAATACATACCATTTCTACATCAGAAACAGGTCCAAAACTGGTGACATATATATCTGTTTTGACTTCAGTAACAGGACCTAATGTATGAAAAGGAAGTGAGCAAGAAAATTTGAATTTTGCAGGTCAACAATTCCCATAAATGATCCTGGTGTGTGAACAGTTACCGCTTTCAGGGTTCTGTGGATGAGCAAGAGCAAAATGCAAACAGAGGTCAATTCAGATAAGTTTCAAATAAGAAGCACTGCTCAATTACCTTTACCACATAAGTAAATCAAAAGCAGCATTTCCATGCAAATCCCCATTCAGAAAACCAATGTTGACTCAAGGGCTAAGAAAACCGATGCCAAAAAATTAAAAGGCTCACTAAAAACACCATTCTACTTTACAACAAGCACTGAATCCCAGAAATCGACATTCCTCAAAGCATTTATTACTAATATTTGGACCTACTCATAACAACTGGGCTACAGACATTAGCATGCCACGTACTGAGTAATGCAGTATCGCAGGATCAAGAACTGCATCCATTTCCTGAGATGTACTTAAGTGCTTTAATACTAATACCCAAAATAAAAGTTGGAGGTCTAAGTACCTTTGAGGGTTTGATCCAAGATCCACATTCTGCTACAATGTTTGTATTGAAGAACCAATGATACTTAGGACACTGCCAAAAACAGTGCACTGAACAGAGGTTTTGCACTCTCACAGCGGCCTACAGCAAACCAACCGCCAGAGAAAGCGGTTTCATTTTAATGTATTATTTCCTTTACTACCTTGAAATCTTAAATGGGCGTTCGCTCTTCAGTACACTCTACATTTCCCCTTAAACGAAAGAAAACATGCACTAATTTCACTGGGATTTAGGTCTCTTCCTAATGTAATAATCTAGAAAGCTGATAATCATTATCAGCCATTATGATGATTTTGTGATCAAAGCATTAGATAACAGTTTAAATCAGGTAATTAACTAACTTCGTAAGTTTTAAAAATAAATCTACCAAATGTCTTGCCAAACAGTATCTGTTTGAAAAAAATGTGCATCATCTACAAATTTAGAAATGGCTTCTAAACCCCTACAACTCAAATTACTAAAAAGGATAAGTGATAAAGTCCAATAAATCAGGTTTTATCATAATATTTGCAATCTAAAAATGAAAGAAGGAAAGACTCAACAGAGCTAGCAGCAGAAGAATGTCCCACTTGAAAAGAAAAAAAAAAATTTAAAAATCAGTCTTCACAGATGTCACTTTGAATCAAATGGTAAAAGATAAAAAAAGAAGTAAGCAATGGGAAAACAGGGAAATTGAAGTTCTTGCACCTAGAACAAGTCTCAAGCTGTGAACAAAAAGTAAAAGAGAACCATGTAAAATTGTTTTACTATAGAATTTGCCAATTATTTAGAGAAGAAAAGCGAAGAATTTTTCATCTAAATGTCAAAAAGATTACTTTGCTGGTAGCCAAGTTTCACAGAAGGGCATTTTTTCAAAATAACTCTTAAGAAATTCCACTGTACAACAGCTGTCAGCTCAGAGGTCCCTGAAAAGTTGTACAGTTTGGTACGTCTGTCTCAAAAAGGTTTTTAAGAAGCCACCCATGAGAAAGAAGGAAGCAGGAACTCTCAGATAACACACTTTCATTCCAAGCCATTTGTTTTGCAATGGGTTGCTCCCTAAACATGGAAGCTGCTCCCTTTTCTACAAATAACAAAGCATTCATCAGTCAGGGAAATCCATGAGTGTTTAGATCACTCATTTTACTAACATAGTCCAATGACATTTCCTGAATATATTGATTTCTGGAGAGCAGACGAGCTCCAAGAGATTAGAAGTGAAGACATTTATCTACAGTGCTGGAAAATAGGAGAGAAAAGCCCAGTCATACTTGCATGTAGAAATAGAAGAGATTCAATTACCACTGATCTCCCATAACCACACTTTTTAAATTTATCCAGGGTTGATTTAAATACATATATATTTATTTCATTTGATCTTGAAATATTTCTGCAATCAGTTCTATAGAAGTGCAAAATTCATTTTCCTAAATAGCTTTAATAAGAAAATACAGGAATTAGTCTTTGTTACTCAATAATAACAGAATACTGAATACTGCACTCAGTTCCTGAAGGAATCCCTTTCAGGAACTGAGTTCAATATTCAGTACTCCCTTTTTACTGAGCAACAGAGACAAGTGCCTGAATTCCTTTCAGGAGCTGCTTTACCTGTTAGTGCTAAGAAACTAAACAGGAATAGCCCTTAAATAAACCCCAGACCTTTACATGTTTTTCCTCTGATAGTATAGTCTTTTCTTTAGCTTACAGAACACTGTAAATTTACAATCATACCAAATTGAGCAAAAGGACAGATTTTCCTATAGGCATGAGCTGCTTCTCCTAAGACATTGATTTCTTTTGTTTTATTAAATGATTACAGTTTCATGCTCAATAGGCATTGCACCTTTGTTTTTTGGAGTTTCTCAGAAAGAAGGGGAAAGCTAAGATCAAGAAGCTAATCTCCAAACCAGCAAGCCTACAACTTAATGCTATTTAGAAACACTATAGCAGCAGCACAAGTCTAAAACTATGTTTGAGTTCACTCTCCAGTAACTGCTATTCTGCTCTCAAATATTTATTAGTATGACCCATGAGAAAGAAGGAAGCAGGAACTCTCAAACAATTACAAGGCCACAAAATAGTGTTTACTTTTGGTTGCTTGTCCAACATGATGGCAGAAGAGTGACAAAACAGATGTGAAAATCACATTTTATTCCACTAGAAAATGGCAGATGAATGTGGATCTAGAGGTACTTTAAACAACCTAACAGTTATCCAGCTATTACAGACATACAAATCCTTGATTTGCAGCCAAAACCTTGGTCAAACGGTTCAGGGTCTGGTAGGAGCAAAGACAGTGAAGCTGATTATCTCCTTAATGCTTTCTCTCCAATTGCAGCCCTTTCATGCTCCACGTCTTCCACCTACACTGGCTTTAACAGTTGTGAAATGACAAATCTTGGATTTTCTAGCACATCCCAGTACTTAATGCCAACCCAGGAGTATCTATGGCGACACCAGTACCTATCTCTTATTCCTCTTGTTCTAGAAGAAAACATAGTTGGTAACAATAGCGAGGGTATAAATAGTGAGTCATGCTGCTGCTTCTTTTTTAAACCATTATTAATCGTGGGAATTCCTGTCAACGAGGAGGTGATCTGTAGTCACCTAACCTACTTTTACTGGTGATTTAAGCAGCCCTCCAAAACGAATGTGTTGCACCACTTAATCAACTCAGGCTCTGCAAGCAGAAGATCCTATTAGAATCCTTAACGCTCTATTACTGGCAATAAAATGCAGTGAGTTGTAAGAAGGCCAATTAACTTTAAATATGACCATTTGGGCTTACCCCTCAATAGATCTTCACAAAGTATCTATCCACCATAAATCTTCAGAAACGCTGAAGAACTATTTATATCATACTGGTGTGTATTTTTATGTCAATGAAATAGGAGGAGAGTCCTACACACTGCAGTGGGAACAGTTACGTCTGAATCACTGCTTGCAAGATAATATACTTTAAAGAAGCTCAGGCAGGATTAAAAGCAACCCCTGCAAAAAGCCAGAATAGTTCAGTGTTATAGATGTTACATGTGGGCTGAAGAAGTGATGCCAGGCCCCAGCCCTGGGAAGAGGAATGCAAGAGAGCTCTCCCATGCATTTTATGTCAACATATGGGTTGAACTGCAGCACAGCTCCCAGTGAAAGACTTCGGGCTCCATTATCCCTGCGTCTCCATAGGCAACTATCACTGCAGAGATCCCTGCTGTATGTAAACACTCAAATCCTCCACAAGCTTTCTGTAGATTGCAATTTTTGCCATCAAGGGTCCCACAACTAATCGGAAACATTAACAAACAAGTCTGTACAAAGGTTTCAACATACCAAGTCCAGTTATGCTTTGCGGTTATTGGTGCTATTATGAGATCCATCCCAAGATATATAAACCACATAAAATCATATTACATCAGTTCCTACAGCGACATTAAAAAAAAAAAAAAAAAAAAAAAAAGTAGTTGGAACAGATTTTTTTTTAAATATAACTACGTGTGAAAGATTTGGTGTTTTCTCTTTCCAAGTTCTTGCTGCCTGAATAGGGTTGACATTTTTTAAGTGAGGAAAAAAAAGAGAAAAAACCTATCACATGAAATATGTTCTCTTGTTTCATTCTATCAGAAAGAACAGCTAAGGTCACCTGCTATATGTAAGAACTCTGCTCAGAAGCCAGAACTAGGTAGGGCATTTTTAAAAAATTAATGCAGAATTCAAATACATGGGCTACATTCTCTACCAAAAGACAATACAACAAACACAGCAGCACACAATAACCTTTGTCTCTATGTATGTTCATCCATCACCATGTCTGAATCTGAAAAGGGAAAAGTGTACCTCCAGAAATTAGGAGATTAGTGTTTCTTTGCCTGTTTATCAGCAAAACATCTCTGCTGAGCCAGCCAAAAAGCCTAATACTGGTGCCAGTTTTCATGATGTGAACACCTGTCTACTAAGAACTGGACTAAGAATATCAGCTAATTTTATACAGATCACTGAACAACAGACAGATGGTAATGACTTCAAGCATTACTAACCGAGGCCAAATTCAAATCTGTCACCTACAGGTATCTAACACCATATCCTGTTAAGCTTTGAGTCATCAACTTTCACCAGCTGAGAAAGAATGGACAACTGCCGGGGAAAAAAAAATGACCCACTTCCCTTTTCAATGCTCTCTTCAAGTCCATTTGCAATCTAAATAGTAAAAACAAATTATAATATCTATTATGCTGAGCAATGGAACCTTTAAGGTACGCTTGAGTTCCTAGTAAGAGCAAATAATCATGCAGATATTTTTATTTTCTCTAAAAACAGAAAATTGCCTTTGCACTTCAAATGTATTCTGTGTTTATTTTCTGACTAAAGTCCTGCATAGACAGGAAATGAAACTCTTCAGAAATGCTGTTCATCAGCTGAACAACACACAGACTAAAGGGGCACAGAATCCTTCTCCTACCCTTCCTAGGGGAGACAATGGCCAATATATTTAATTCTACCAAGTACTCAGCTGCACAACTGAGCTGCACTCAGTAACAAGATCATGAGAAAGAACGAAAAGGGGGAAGAAAAGAAAAAGGGAAATGGATGAACACAGTCCTAGTCCTATTCAGGAGTCAGCAGCGAATGTGGCAATTTCCAAAGAGAAAGCCACAGAGCTAACATCAGTAGTTAATAGTGAGACTCAAAATTTATGCCAGGTTCTACCTCACACAAATTAGCAGAACTCAGGAAGGGACAGGGCTCCATCTGTCACCAACTAATGGGGAACCACACCCCAACACATCAGCAACAGGCTGTGGGCAATGCCATAGCTTGTGGTCAGCAGGTTTCACAGCCAGTCTGAGAGCTTTGGGCAGGAGGCAAGTCATGCACCACTTTCTTTCTTTGGTCTGGCCATACAATTGGCCACTAAAAGCAAGATGCCAGAGCAGATGTTGTCTGAAAGGCATAATTCATCAAAATTAGCAGATACATGGCAGCACAGTCTAGTCACCCTCATCAGTTTCAGCCTCCTTATTCCTTCCTACATCCCTAAGTCCAGGTTTAAGTGTGATTAGTTACTATATCATGAAAATTTCAAAGACACCATTATATTTTTTAAAGTTACAATCCAATACAGGTTTGAATCAGCTCTTGCAGGCCCTTGCTAATGTCAAGAGTCACTCAGATAAAGTCTGAAACCATGCAAGAGTTTAAAATGGCAAATCAGACCCAGGCCTTTTAATTCCAGTGAATAATGCTCCTTTCAAACACCTTGGACTTCTATCGTCACTTTGAAACTAATGACCAGAAAAGTAATAAGGTGATTTTCAAAGAAAATACAGCTTGTGAAAATTTCACGTAACACAGAAAATTTTAAAAGCAGATGAAAACTGCACACAGGGTTTAGATAGAAATGCTTCTACTTCAAACTTTACAGCTGAATCAAAATAGTACTCTGGCAGTACTCTCAAAGTTTTCCAGCAGATGATGATTTTAATTAATGACACTACAAGGAGCTTCTGTAGAAACACTGTTTTTATAGAGTGGCTTTGACCAGGAAACCTACTTGGATTATAAATTGCATGCTGAAATTCAGGATAATGATATAGCAAAGCATACAGTGTAGGGAATGAATTAACTTCACTTCCATCACACTATTTTCAAACATCATACAGCATTACTTTACTCATTAGTCCCTAAATACCTTCCATCTACTCAAATTCAAAACTCTTATGCATTTAAAGTCTTCCTGACAGCAGTTGCAGGGTTTTTTTTTCTTTCCTACATGAAACTGACCATTCTGCTTTATTTCATTCAATTTCTACGTGACATTTCTTTGCTTCCCTCTTTAGATTCTCCCCCTGCCTCAACTTAATGGGAACTTTCACTTAAATGGTCTTGAGTAACCCTTTTGATAAACCCTTCTGGTTTTGTTTTTCACACTACCAAACCTTGCAGTGCCTAGTAAGGTGACAGCAACTTTTTAAGTTTATTAAATTTATTTAATAAAGTGAACTTATAATTCAAGATGTCAATGCATAAGTACCACTGAGAGAAGCTTCCACATACTCCACTGGGGTTCACAACTCTTCCCGGAGACCACGTCCACATTTGTAAGCATGCTGAGGCAATTTGACTTCTCCTCCAAAACTACCCAAAATTGTGCAAATTAATGATAGTATGGAGAATATTGATCCAGTTGTAGGAAATTTCCAAAATCGAACATTTTCTACTTTGCTCTGCATGTGAATTATCTTCATGTATTTTTATTTGTGGTAATGCTGTAATATGCCAGCAAAATTCAGAATTTGGCTACCTCCCCAAATCTGATTTTAAACATAATTTGTGCCAAAATTAGAAATATTTTCATCAATTTGAAGTTTAAAATGAGCATAGTTAATCCTCTGGAGGCCTTTTGTTCTTAAAATAAAACCTTCATTTCATTTCAGGCCCTGTGAAAACTAGATGGTGAATCAGCTTCAAGAAGAAAACAAAAATAAGTATTCTGCTGTTCATCGGAAAGTGATGTAGCATGAACATTACCAAAACACACTATACTTTCCATCTCTAAATATTCCTATCCCCTCTCACATTTTGTTTGCAATTCTATAAACTAGTGAGTGACCCACTTTCAAGCTACAAATCCTACTTCTGATAAAGATTTATCAGGAAAAAGCCCCAAAATATAGGTAAAAGTTGATTTTGATAGTCTCTATTTCAATAAATAGTCTATAGTTATTACTCTGAGCAATGTCAAAAAGTGAAATCTGATAAATTACAAAAATTTCTTTCTTTGGTTGGTTTTGTTGTTTGGTTTTTTTTTAACCGAAGTTGTTGTTCTCAAATCAGGTGTAGATAATTTTCACTGTAAGGAGCTAGGGAGGCAAGCATCATTTTTAAAACCAAAGCATTTTCCCCCCATGTTTTACTTAAAAGTTCAAAACTCAGAGATGAGTGGTTAAATGTTAACCACAGAGATGGTTATGAGGAAGGAAGAAGCAAAATAATATCCATTTTGTGAAAAATTGACCCAGAAGTGTTTTCCCCAGGCTGAAATCTGAGTTTTTGCCTCCCTCTCTCATTTACTTCAATATTCCCCATGTGAAAGTTCAAGAAGATACAATGAACTTTTTCTCCTTGATTGCGTTTTGCTGAAAGTCTTCCATACTTACAGGGGAAAAATACCTACTCTTGCAAAACATCTTGCAAAGGACAACTGTATTAAAATAAAAATCACCATATATTACATATTTAGTAGTTGTTTAATTTTGGAAATCTGATAATGCTCATAAAGCATCTTTGCTAGATGACTAATTAGTTGGCATTCAACCTAAAATGATGCCAAACTTAGCACATCTCTTGTACGCGTGCAGAAGTGTCTGTAACCTCTCCACAAAGACTAAATTGCAGAAGACTATCAGTTCCCAATGACTCCTCCGGGTGGTAATAAATTTAGCTTCCTTCTCACTTGATGTGTAAGCTAACTTAAGAAGGCCTCATTCCACACACTCAAAATAATAAGAGTGGTCCACGGGTGCCAGGTGCTGTCCTTTAACAATCGCAATCATGCATGTGAGAGCACTGCATATGGCATGTGGGGAATGTGCTGGCATACATGTCAGTGTGGATGGATCACATGTATGGAGAAGGTACTTCAGAGGAGGAAGAAAGTATTTTGCAACATAAACCTACGCAAGGATCTCATTCAATCCTGTATTGGAAGCAGCCTATAAAAACCTCATTACGGCTTTGAGCATCATGAAAAGGTCTGTAGCATTTTTTTATAAATATTTTAATATTATTTTTACTGTCAAATTTTCATTTTAATACCTTCATTCCAGATTACAAAATAAACTTTTATTTTGCCTGGATCTTAATGATTTTTGGTTCCAAGACCCTACACAAAAACATAAAAATCATGAAAAAGAGCAAGTCTGGCTGCTTCTTCAGCATCACAAAACTGCATCTTAACAGCCTGGGGAAAGGAAGAGGCCCAAAACCCCAACAGAGCAGAGCACAGGTGAAGGCACATTTTGAAACCCCGCCACGTCTAATTCCTATACAGCAATTAAGTCTACTACTTCTAAATCAAAGCTGGAATTTCAGCAACTGTGGTAAAAAACTGGCACCTGAGCTCTGATTTTCCCTAACTAGGGGAGCAGAATCCACCAGACCTAACCTCCTAGGCTGGTAAAAGTACACTTGTTTCTATTAGGACCCGATCGTGGCATTTATTTTTTGAACCGTGGCAGGTTCAAAACCTGTCAAGAACGAGAAGAATCTGAGTGTTAGACAGGTCACTCCATCCCCACCAAGCCAACGCACACCGGCTTCAGCGCTTATTTTTCCTCCAGCGCGGCAGCAGCAGCCCGAGCCCGGGATGTGGGCAGAGCAGCAAAGCGGGGGCTGAGCCCGGGACCGCCCCAGCGGGGCCCCCACGGCCGGGACTGCGCAGCACCCCCGGGCTTTCGGGCCAGGCGCTGCCTCGCTGCCGGCCCTTCCCGGAGGGTTCGGACCCTGGAGCACGGAGTGGGGACACACCCCCACGTTTTCGGACAGCAACGGGTCGGTCCGAGCGGCGAGCGCCGCGTCCCCCGCCCCAGCCCAGCGACCCCCCGCCCGCCGCCGGCACCGCGCCGCCACCGTACCCCCAAATCCCGGTCGCAGCCGGTTGTCATAGCCATCCAGGAGGCTGTTCAGGATGCTGGTAAAATTCTCCGGCCACAATTTCTCCTCTTTTTTGATCTGCCCTGGCGGCCCGGTGAGACTGCGAGGCAAAGAGGGAGCGGGTGAGCGGAGCGGGTGAGCGGAGCCGGCACCGGACCGGCCGCCCGGGTCCCCCGGCGCCGCAGCCGGGCTACTCACCAGGTCGCCAGGCACAGGCAGTGCAGGAGGGCGATGGAGAGACCCGAGGACATGGCGATGGCTGGCTCCTTGGCAGAAACCATCTTTGCATGCCATACTTCACGCCTGGGCACGTTAAACGCCTTGTCCGGGGCGGGGAGGGGGACGCGGGGCCCGGCGGGGGGGCGGCAGCCCCCGGCGGTCCCACATGCGCGGCGCCCCGGTTGCCAAGCGCCCGGCACGGGCGGAGGAGCGGCGAGCGAGTTTCCCCGCACCGTTAACTCTCTCGGGGCAACAGGCGCCGGCGGCCGCGCTGCCACGGGCGGCGGTGCGGAGGTGGGGTGACAGTGCGGGAACGGCGGCCGGGGGCGTCGCGGGGGTGACCGCGGTGGCGGAGCCCTCTCTCGTCCCGATCGCCTCTGTTCCCTGCGAGGGGAAGAAAACCGAGAGCGTGGGCGGGCGGGGGCGATTAATTCCCCAGCGAGGAGGGCTTGGGAGCAGGAGGGTCTGTCCGCTCCGGTAGGAGAGGAGCTGGCAGGAGAGAGGTGGGAAGAGGAGGTGAAGGAAAGCTTTGACTTCAAGGTTAAAACAGAGAGCGCCCAAAACAGATGGAAGCGAGTGGGTTATTCCAGGTTGCTAAAAGCAAAAAAAAAAAAAAAAAGCCAGAATAAGGGAATCGTTTCACATTATATCTGATGGGTTTTTTCTTTTTTCTTTTCTTATCATTCCTATAATTAGGAAACATGATTTGGTGACCCAAAAAAATTCATTATGCAAGGTCCAAGGGATTGTGAAGAATTACAGTAAAATCCACTCAGAAGTGTTGTTAGTCTGTCACAAGCTATTGGGATGGTTGGGTGGAGGGGGAAGACTGGGGGAAAGGAAGAGAATGGGAGGTGTTCCACATGCAGTAAGTATTGGCAGTAAACAACTTGTTCTTCTGATCAAGTGTGCTGCAGAGACAATTCTTGAGGTTTGAAAATCAGTGTGCATGTCAATTTTAATGAGGGTTGTGAAATTCATCATGCACATAGGGCAGGTATTGTAATTGACTCAAAGACTACAGTACTGTCAATGCCGACAGTAAAAAGTCTTTATTCATTACTTACTACAGTATCTTTTAGCATTGAAATGCCTGATTATCTTCAAAACCACTGTACACTTGAAATCTTCCTGATTGTACTTCAGAGCTTGCTCCAGCTAGGGTGCCCTTTGCTGATTCGTTTGAAAAACAATTAAAGCTGTGCTTGAAATCCATTTAGCCTGCTGACGCTGTTTATCTTTCAAAAAACTCTGTCTAGGCAGTCAGTTCTGCTTCCAATTTTAAAAGCCCTATTTAGGCCTCTGCAGATTACTAGTCTGCTTCCTGAGATTTTGACAAGGATCCTCATCTCCTGACTGCTTTACAGGATCCTGATCTGACTGCCTTAGTGGAATGACAAATGTGCTGCCAAAACGTCACCGAGTGGGGCCGCCTGCCTATGGATGGCATACACGCTCTGTGAGGTATTTACAAACCTGGAGAACACGGACGGCAGGATGTCACGCCAAGGTCACTTCGGCTCTTGTGATGAGGCTCTGTTTAACTCCACACACAGGTGAAAACCAGCACAACAGACAGAGTCCACTGCTCTGTCTCCATTAGCAATCTGATCAGGAACAACAGAAGGATGAATGAACAGCTCTTCAGAAGTCCAATTTCACCAGAGTCAGATAAATTTCTCTGGGTTAATCAGCCACTTGGGATCTTCTGTAAAGTGTTGTGATTTGTTTCGCTGGATCAATCTTTTGCTCTAGCATGGACTATGCCAGGGAGATACTGAGAACTCACCTCCAGTAAAAAGAGTGTTGAGTTGTTCTCCCTCGGGATAAAAAGTAGACCCTTATTGCAGAATATTGAAAATTTTTCCTCGTGAGATTATCTTTTATAAGGATACTTCAGTTAAATTTTGCTGGCAGAAGTGAAACTCAAAAAATGAAAGTGAGGGCAATAGTGGGTAATTGAGAACTGGGCAGAATCCTGCTGGCTAGTCACAAACTTGGAGCAAAACATGGCTCTAGGCACTGTCACTTACTGCAGCTGCTGAGGAAGAAAACAAACATCCAGGCAGAGCTGGGGATACCCTTGGGTTTAGATTGTTTTAATGTTTTCTAGATATGTATAGACACCTGTGTGAGCTGAAATAGAAAAGTTGCATGGTGTTCACCAGTAATGATCTCACTACTTGAACGTCATGAAAAATGCTATCACATAACCCCCTCTCAAATCCATGCCTGGAGTCAGTAGTTCTGCTACAGCTAGAAATCAAAGAAATGCTCCCTTTCATCAGTTCTAGGAACTGAGCTGGTCTTTGAATGATTTCCAAGTTCTTCAGAACAAAGAACAATATTATTGATACCTTCTGTCTCTTTAGTACAGGTACTTCAGTGAGGTAACTGAAGTAACATTCAATAAAAGTAACATCAGGTTACAAGATTTGTGGACATGCCATGCAAGGGCAAGAAATACTCATGATTTCTAAAAAGATGCCCATTTTTTTTTTCTAAGAAAATGTAGACATAGTGCCCTCCTGTCACGCCAAGCCTGCCTCGGGTTGCATGGATGCAGTATCTGGGAGCCACATGAGTGCATTTACTCCCTACAGGTGCTAAAACTAAATGAAAATTCACTTTGTCTAAACCTAGAAAATTAATTCTAAAACACCTCAAATTCATGAGTTGCTAATATCCCCCTTAAATCCAGCAATGATTATCAAGAAATCCATAAGATTAATACCAAATCCAGACTGTTGTCCTTGATATCTATAAAACTGTATCATTTGTAGATTGATGAAGCATTTCCAAAACAAGGCTTGAAGGAAAAAAGAACTTAAAGCAGTTCAAAATAACAGTAAACAGTCCTGTAAGCCACATATAGCTCCTGTGAGTGTTCATCACTTCTGGTATATGCATTGCCCTGCTAAATTTCAATGTTTTCTGAATTACAACTTAAGAGCTATTCTAGGGGTTTTTTTGGTAATGTATTTGTAGCACAAACACACAGAAACTCCAGAGGTTCTTCTTTGTCACCAGCAGACGTATGCTGTTTTGAAAAGTACTGCTTCAAATGGTCTTTGATCTCTTCACAGAATATCTGGGTTATATCATCTCTCTAAAATAACTTGATGACTCCAAGAAGGATTTAGTGGTCACAGGCTGGATTGATGGTCCCCAAAAGTGTTTGCTGAATTCAGCAGTTTCCCAGCTTCTCCACCATTTACCACCAATTCTTCCAAGATTTCTCTGAAGAAATCTCACCCATCGGGGACTATTGTAAGAAGGGGACTATTTTTGCCAGGCTCCATATGCTCAGAAAGCACTTGAATTTTTTAAATAGAAATTTTTTTTTCTGTCCCTCTACTGATGTATCCTACTAATGATTTTTGATGAAGCAGACATTCTGGCCAAGCCTCAAAAGAAGGTTTATCCAAAACTATGGATCTTAAGTATAGCTTAATCATTTTTTATTTGTTACAACACAGAGAAGCAGATTTTCTCATCACTCTTCCCAATTCTACTTTACCATCAGATTAAGCAGAAAGAAAAAGGAAGTCTGTTATTTTCTTGTGTTAGTCATTATCTGACCTTTACAGGGCTTGTACTTTTTGGTTTTTGGCTGCTTTTTTCCTGCTTTGTAACCTCTATCAACACTATAGGTTATATAGGTAAATCATAGGTTCCATCCTTTCCCACAGCAGATTTAATTATTCAGCTGATTTTTACCTGATTTAGTTTTGGCATCAAATCCATGAAGACAGACAAGCTAAGATCAAAAAGGCTGTGAAAATCTTTAATGCCCAGTTATATGTTGCATAGTTAAAAACGTCTAACTCTTAGAAAAGAGAAGATAAAACTGGGATCCCTGCCAAGTATCTCAATGTTTCTTTATCTAAATAGGTAAGTCATTGATTTCTTGAATTTTTTTAGTTTCTATCCATATCAGTAGAGTTTCTTACAATATTGAACAAACAACTTGTCTTCACATACATCCTTTTTAAAAAATCAGGGGTTGAGTATGCATTCTTTGGAAAATGCATACCCCTGATCCCATTTTTGGCAAATGACCGAGAAAATATATGAATACATTTACTGTACTAACTAAAGTGTCTTTCATTCCCTTCTTCTCCAACATCCACTCTGATCAAAGAGATCATGGAAACCTGCATGTCTTGCCTTTATCAAAACTTTGATCTGGAGTTCAGGGAACGTCTGTACTACCTGTTCAGGGTAGAGTTTTCAATCAGAGGGGGTACCAGGACACTGTGGGCCTTGACTACACATCTAGTGATGTGCTTAAGTTTAAGGAGTGTAGATTGATTGAAACTTAAGTTCTGCTCTGGGAACAGTAAGATAATAAGAACAGTAAGATGAATAAGCTCTTTCTGAGTCTTCTTCCAGTTCCAGCTTTCCCTGTAGTTCTCTTTCCTGATGTAGTTCTAGAAGTTTTCTTTCCAGGTTTCTATTTCAGTATCTGACCACAAAGTTTTTACCTACGCACTTGCCTCTCCAAAGGACTTACAGTCTAGATAAACTAAACTAAGTGAGGACTGGATAAAAGAAAGTACTGTTATTTCTGTTTCGCTGGGAATAGAGACCCAAAAAGCTTAAGTGGCAATGCAACACAATGTATGAAATGTAACTGCTTCCAATATAAGAAATTTGCAGCAGAACATGAGTTTAATTCCAGTCTGCTGTGTCCCAGGTCAGTTTTCTAGTCACCTCCTCATCTGTCTTTTCAGAGCACAGCATAAGCTCTATGTAAAACTGAACCTTCAGCTGGCCCAGCTTTGCTTCACTTCCATGGCCAGAACTCCTACGAAACTGCAGGAGCTGATGCCGACATGCATTTAGCTGTGTATTTTTTCCTCTGACATATGGTATTTACAAGACTGCTCCACAGTACCATGGTTATTTTAACACATATGTCCTTGATTGCTTGGAATAAGACTAGAAAATCCTTTGAGTACCAAATATACATACATATATATACATATATATATATATATATATATATATATATATATACACACATATATATATCTATGTCTGAATATATACACATGCATATATTGCTATTACTGATT